AAGAATTATTAATAATTCTACAATGAACATTTGGAAATGTATCAAATTAAAAACTATCCATATTATCCACTAAAAATTGAAAATAAACAAAACACTATACTATTCTTTATATAAATTCAAATTTTGTAGAATATAATTAAAAGAATGACATTATAAAAGAGAATGGTTTTCCCAAAGAACATTATAAAGGTAACCATACTTTCGATACGTCATACATTTTCTTTTATCGCGTGCAATCCGTGCGATCTTCAATCTTCGATTTTCCCAGAAATATATAGAGATCGCAGTTTAGTTATGATTTTATACGGTGACAGCGTCGAACGTGCGCCCGTTTGCGAGACGAGCCGACGTTCGAGAGTTAAAGTAAATTCAGCCGTGAGTGCGAAGTAACATGCGCGTCGATTACGCGGCGGAAGAAAGAAAACAGCGTTCTCCACTTCTTGGTGCGCCGATGGCGCAATGGGAAGCCCTCTAATCGCGACGGTGCAATCGACGACGCACGGTTATTTCGCGTTTGGTCTTCTTGCACCGGAACTGGTCGGCCTCGTCTTTCGTGGATCGGTGAATTGCGAAACGAGACACTCGGACAGAGTAATGCGCAATGGAAAACTTGCTGTACTTACTATCGTCTCTTAACCCTTAGCACTCCGAATTCCTTTTGCAGTTTTTCCTCGGTAACTCTGTATTATCACGATATTTTATTTGAAATGCATTTGAGGAAATAGTTAGCCTGTAGAGAACAGTATAAACGATTCTTTTTACTAATAATATTAAAAATAATATAATAATATAATTTATTTTAAAAATATATTTAGGGTAGAGGGTTATCCCTTTGCATTTTTTCCTCGGTAACTCTGTATTATTACAATATTTTATTTGAAATGCGTTTTAAAAAATAGATAGTTTGTAGACAGCAGTGTAAACGATTCTTCTTACTAATAATATTGAGAATAAAATAATATTATAATCTATTTTAAAAATATGTGGGTAAACAAGCACATATGTGAATAAAACTGATGTCGAGTCACGCTCGACGTAAGGGCACAATGGGTTAACCCTTTAACACGTTGAATACCATGGGAGTCATTGGCGACCCGCAATCAAATAGAATTACTATAGTTCACTCAGTTAAACGATGATTATTTGCAAACGTTTCTATACTATAAATAATGCTACCTGATGCGGTGACACTCACTTAGATGAACGTACAATAATAATGTAATTCAATCGAATGATTTAATATTTTATTTTTTCCATTTTCTGTATTTTGTTCTGTGAAAAACGAATATATCAATAAGCCTGTAAAACAGGAAATCTAAAACCAGCTATTTTGATCGTCGTGGTAGTCCCAATGTTAATACAAGTGTCTAACAATTTGTAAATACTTTAGCTCGTTAACGATTATAATTTATTCAGTAGTAAATTTCGGTGAATTAAATTCGGTACATCGATATTCGATCCGTGACGTTGTCCAGGAAAAAGAATGCCCCGCGATTGAAGCACGAATCAATGACGACGATCGTGATCGGCTCTCTTAATTCACGATCGCGTGATCCGTCGCTTTAATTACTGTGCAACCTCTCGATCACTCCGGATGCACGATACGTCTTGTCCTTTTTAATTGAATCTAGTCAGACTGGGTCTCCGATGACGCTGGCCACGCTTCGACCGGATCTCGTTGTCCAGCGTCAACGTTCTCTCCTCTTATGTAACTGTTCTTGTTGTTCGATCCTTCGCGGGGATGACTGAACCGTCGTAAAACGCGTGCATCCTGTATTTACTTGCTGCGATACGTTTAAACTCATTGTATGCTTCTGAGTTGCCGAAAGGAAAGCTTCTGTGAATGCTTTTAGGCGAATTCAACGTTAATATTACTATCAATGATATATTATTATCAATGATATTAATAATTTATATTAGTAATTGCGATATTAATATTTGATTTGTGAGAAAAACACTGTTGGGAAAATTACTAATATTGATAATTAATAATGTATAATATTAGTAATAATATTATTTATTGTTATACATTTATATGTGTAATATTGTTAATAATATTGCAATATTACTACTTAATTAATTCAAAAACATTTTAGAGCTTTCTTTTCGGGAACTCGGAAGTAGGAATGACACTACTATTATTCCTAATCATTCATTTGTTGATTTTGTCTAATAGAAGCTGATATTTTATGGACTTCATAAAATCTCTGATAGTTTTTTCAATATCATACTAGCAGAGATATATATTTGATTATCTTACATATTTTGATTTATTTATTTAAAACTCTTTTATTTAAGTTTAGTGTCCATAAGTTTCACAAATATTGTTAAACAATGTACTTCAGTCTTCCAAAGGAATCTGTATTTATTGTCTTTGTTGTACTTTCGAGTTGCAGATTTCAAGGAAATATATCAATAAGAAAATTTGTCATACCCTACGCAATAAATTCACATAATAGTAATATTAATAATAATAATAAACAGGCTTTTATTCGAAGTATAATGTGATATAATATAGTTCGACATGTATTACTAAATACGAATCATGCCCACGGCGTTATACAACTTCGTTGCAGAGAATCTCAGTAGGTCAATTCCTTAAATACACTAAATCATTGTCGTTTTAGTACGAACCTCTATATTATGCTAAGGTTAATTAAAGCTGTGATTTTGTAACATAGCTGCCATACAAAAGCAGCATTATAGTTACATTAAATTCTTCATTTCCCAATTTTCAAATATTTCCACGAACACGCGACATTGTTCATAACAGAAAGAAAGAAAATTCAAGTACCTCGTTACTAATCAAAATAACAAAGCCATTACCCGCTTCAATCCACATAACAGTAATTACAATTCTCATAATAAGAATCATAAATGACAAAGATGCGCTGCAAACCCCGAATGCCGCTACCGTTCCAATCGGAAAAGCAGAAGCATTAGCATAAATACATTATGCAGCCCGATAATTATAATCCTTCAAACATTTTCTTTTCATACGATCACGAGGGTCCGCGACCGGTTTGTCCGAGGATTTAAAAGTCCTCGGCCCGTCCATCGGCGACAAAGGGACGCGGGCGTTCTCCCGAAGCAGGGAAAATAATATTTCCGGACTCATTAGGTACTAACGAATGCTTCACAGAGGGCGCGGTAGAATTACTTAAATTTTAAGTTCGCGGATTGTCTCGAAGCTCGGTCGGTGATCCGCGTAGGCTCCGGTTCACTGGTAATCCTGCAATTTTTCGCCAGTTTTGAATCTGCGAAACGAGAACCCCCCCTAATTGCACCCCTCTCCAGGGGTTGATCGAATTAACCATTGGAAACCGAAAGTTGTTTCGCAAAAATTCACGTCCGATCGGCCTTCGACGTTTCGGCCGAAGTGAAAGTCTATTTGCTGCCGGTCGAGTGATCCGCTGAAGTGTGCAACGTTGAATTATGGCGTCGGGGTGCAGATGCTGAGTTTGTTTTGTTCGTCCTTGGACCGTTCTTTTTTCTGGTGCTCTGCACAAGGGTTCGTAAATATATGGTCGGGTTTCGGAGAGTAAATCAGGATTGTAAATGAAGGATAAATTGTTTTCTGGTATTCACATGCTTCAAAGAATGGTTTTGTTCTTTAATGAATTGTTTTATTTTTAACGGTTTCCAGATTGCTCTTTGAGTTCTTGTTGCTCGCCGTGGCTGTGAGAGTGTATTTTTCGTTGGTGTGTGCATTAATACGTTAATTGCTGCTGTTAAAATAGTTGTTCGGTTGTGATATTCATTGTCTGAAGATAAAATGAGGATGACGCAGGTGCTTCGTTTGTAATCCTTGTTGTAGCATTTTCCTTCGGTTGCATGGGATCATTTTGAATGTGTAAAGAGTCAATTGTCTGTTTGTATCAATGATACTTATGATGTAATAGTTCGTTTTAACTCTTTCGTTCCGAATGGTATATATAGGCACCACGAACATTTTAAATCACCGGAATTACCATTTATTATTATTGCTGTTGTTGTTGTTTTTATTGTCGTTGTTGTTCTTGCTGTTGCTGTTGCTGTTATTAATATTATTATTATTAGTGCTTACCTTATTTCTTTCACTGAAAAGCTTCAAGTTCACTTGAAAGCTGTTGTTCTTGGCCTTCTCTTTGAGTTATCCTACCACTAAAAAACAATTGAAAATATAGACATTCGAAAATCAAAATTACACTTTACCTAAAATGAGAAGACACATCACTAATTTTACCTACATATCACTTTGATTCATTATAGCTTTCTCAATCTATTGCACATGGAGAGTCTATAATGATTATATATTATATTGATATATTATGTTGATATAATTAATAACAATGTTGATATGATTAATAACAATGTTGATACAAAATTTCGTTCAATCAGCGACATTGAAAATACAATTTTTCATAGTTTTATAGTTTTGATAGGTTGCATGTAACCACATGGACCAATAGTAAATTAGTGATCGGATCAGGAATTGAGAGATAAAACTAACAGAAAGCTAAGTAAAAAATGTTGTTAGAGATAAAACTAACAGAAAGCTAACCAAAAATGAAAACTGATCGATCAGCCGAATTCTTCAGCTCACCGATCAACTGATCTAGCAGCCTACTGCAAAAAATTCCATTATTCATTTCCTGCAGGTACAGTCCCAACTAACAGCCTCAAACAGTAATAAAAAATTGAGAAATAACTAACAGAGAACTAAGTAAGAAATTCGAAAAATTCCAAAAATGAAAACTGATCGATCAGCCGAATTCCTCTGCCCGCCGATGAACTGATCTATCAGCCTAGCGCAACAAAGTTCCAACTAACAGCCTGAAACAGTAATGTCCGTAGCCTTGGCAATCCCTGATCCCAGGACCTCAGGCTAGGCTAGGGTTCGCCTGGACGTCGGAGGATTCCCAGGCGTGGGTATCGATCCGTCGTAGGATAGGGATGCAACATCGCCGCGTTGTGGCCCCGGTGCAGCGCGTAATCGCCGGTTCCGTTGGCTGTTGCAGAACCTAGAGGAGCGTGAACGCAAGCACGCGGTGCACAAGGAACAGCTGTCTCGCGAGCAGAGGTTCCTCAGGCGACGGCTGGAGCAGCTGACGAGTCAGACGGGCCTGCACGGGCTGCACGAGCTCCATGGTCTCCACGGGCTGAGCTCGAGCGCGCCGACCGGCTCGTCCTGCGGGCCCGGATCGGCCGCGGCCGCCGCCGCCGCCGCGGCCCTACTCTCCAAACGGCGCAGCGTGTCCGAGTGCTCGCTAGGCACGGCCTCTTCCACCAGCTCCACGGCCAGCTCCAGGAACTCCGATAGGTCTGCGGGCAGTCCATCCGTCTCGGAGTCCGGTGAGTACTCATCTGCAGCCTGTGATGTTGTCTTTATTTTAACCCTTTGCGAACCAACGTGGAGTCCAACTCGACGTAACATTTCCTTGCGGCAGGTCCAACGTCGAGTGTGGCTCGACATGGTTTTGAAATTGAAGAATTATCATTATTTTCATTATTTCTGCACGACCATTCGTTTATATTCCAAGCAATCGATAAAGGTCTTTAACTGTTTCTCAGCTTATTTTATACTTCGTACTGGTTATAACTTTATTCAAACTGAGACAAAGTTATTAGGTGTATAATGAACTGATAGAAGTTTGAAATTCATTCGGATCTGACTACTGGGAATAGGAAGAATTCGTTTGGAATACAAAGGGTTAACCTTTTCGCTACCGTGGGACTAGCCGCAGAGCTTTACATCTGTGCGGCAAGGTTTGACGCAGTCTGCTTATTATAAATATAGCACTGCGATTTGAGGCTGATAGAGTTTTCCACGGTGTAATTACGTTAGATTTGATTATAATGTGCGGAGCAATCGACGACAGAGAAAGAATTGTGCCGTTATAGCGTCGTAGCGTTCGAAAAGATGATATACGCGATAGCTGCTATAGCGGTGTATAGTAGCTGAAAGGTTGATAATTCGAGGAGTCAGTTTATGTGAAGATAATGTTTGAGGTTGGAGAATAGATTATGGAGTTCTAGAAGTTTTGGAGGGTCTGGGGATAATGATTTTGGGAAAGGAATTTTGTTTTTGTTTCAGCGACTTTGGAAATTCGTGTTTGATGTTGTTAATCTGTTAGAAAGATTATTATGATTATAGTTATTGCGTTGTAGGTTTGCGGGGTTTGAAATAGTGTTAAATTATTGGAGAAAGTGATAGATGAAGGAATGAAATATTCTCGGTAATCATTCCGTAAAAGTTTGCCAGCAGTATTGTTTGACGAATAATTGGAATACTTATGTATATAGAATATGTAATGAACTTATATAAAATGCATATTTCAACATAGTAGATTACATGATTTTTAACGGAGAAAATTGATTGTTGAAAAATTCAGAAAAATTTGTATCTGATACAGTCTGTGAGAAAATTTTGATTAGAATTCTAAGAAGTTGCTAAATCGAAGACTGTTATTCTCCTTGCAAATGTGCTTCGGAAAAAATGAAATTAAATAACGGCTGAGGACACTAAACGAATATTTAGTCGTTTTCTTGACCCTGCAAACGATTAAGGTTACAATTTACAATCTGCGTTACAATTTACAATCTCCTTTTAGCAAAATAAATCTCTTAATCTGGACAAATTTTGTTAAAATTAAAATAATGAATTTCGCGAATGAATTTGAACGCGTTTTCAAATAGAAATCACATGCACATATACGTGCCGATATTTTTTAAAAGATTGACTTCATTAAATCGTCATAAATTAATTATAATATTTGTCACGTTTCACAGTAGTGTCTGAAACAAATTTTAGTTCTTTTTTAAATCCCCTGTACAAGACAATGTTACGTAAATTTTTATTTATGATCCGCTCAACAAAAGAAACTCATTAAATCTGATAATATAGTAATTCAAATAAATTTTCATCTGGTATAATCGACTGTATAGTTTCATTGTTGTAAAATACTTTATGCAAAATACATGTGGTTAATTAGACAGACGAAAGTTAAGGGTAGAATTCTGAAGGGTTTAGCGTGGGGTGGAATCAAATGAATAATGGCAGACGCACATTCATTGGGATGTAATAGGATTAAATGTAGAACACTAGACTGGGAGGGAAACCAAGGATGAGTCGGTAGAAAGTTCATAAATACATATTTTATGGAATGAGTAAACGCCGGGCGATGATAACGGATTACTGAGAAAAGTGGAGTCAAACTCCTCTTTATCGGGATAATCCTAGAATTTAGAATCGCAAACAGGACTGCATTAAAAGAGAGCATTTTAATGGAAATATGACACCACTTAGTGTATACTTGTGGTTGTTAACTGGAATTACGAGATAAATACTATTTACTGCGATCGCCTTTTAGGATTTGTACAATTAAATGTACATTTTCATAGAGGAACTTTCACGGACCAACGTTTCATATATTTTCATAGAATTTTTCCAATTTATTTTATAGTTAAATAATAAAATGTTACATATCATAAATGTTTTACCATAAAGTTATGAAGAAGGTTTGAACGTTATATTTACCTTTATAACTATTTGACAATGATTATTTGAAGCATTGAAAATAATATATCCGCAAAGATAAATACTTAGTATAAACTTTAACTGTATTATCAGCAACTATCTTTTCCTATGTACACAACTGAAATACATTGCTCCATGTTCGAACTACAATGACAAATAGTGACTATGCTACAAATGTTTGAATTCTTGTAAATTATCAAAGAAAAGAGACAAAATCAAAGAATTAAGAATTAAACCAGATAAATATTCTTACAATTTTTATGGAATTATGGGACATTACGAGGCATGGAAATTCCATTCATTCATAAAACTCATTTCCTTCAGAAATGGAAGCTCACGGCAGAAAAAGGCCGTGAAGCTTCTTCATTTCTACATAAGTCTATCCTACAACATGTATAGGGTTTCACTGGAAAAACAAATTTTTGTTTGGCCCGCTGCTTGTTAGCACAAAGTAAACAAACAGTTCGCCGCGTTAAGCGTGAACGCAGCTCTCAGAATGGAGGATCGCGTGAAAAGGAACGATTTGGAAGCGTTAATCTCGCATCTGGGGACCCACAGCGATCGCTGGAGAGCGGCCATTGCGCCACGGCATTCTCCCGCGATCATATTTATCGATCGTTCGCGGCTGCATGGCAGCGCGCGCGGTCATGTGAACGCGGCGTTAACTTCGCCGTGTCACGGCGTGCACTTTGGTCGTTGCACCGCAACGATTCCAGACGAGGCGTTCTAATCCGAGATTTCTCAGCCGATGGTACGGCAAGGTTGGGCTGAGTCAGCTCGTTAGAAACAGGACCTACTCCCGAACGTCCTATATAAATACCCGGCCCGGGTAAAATTGGAGTAATCCGCGAATTATGAGTCAACTGTTGCCGCGCGTCGACGTTCTCGCGTCTTCTTTTAACACTAGAACTACCGAGCGTTTAATACGGACGCATCAAAATGACCCATTCTTGGTTCCATCATTTTACAATTTTTAAAAAGACAACAGATGTTTATCGAGAAGATTATTAAAGCGATTGATTTAGCGACACGCAAACTGGATTGTCAGTCATTTGAAGTCTCCGTAGGTGCACTCTTAGAGTTTCTATAGAGGAATTTCGAAAAGTCGAACTTGGTAGTTCTAGTGTTAACATTTTTATAGGAGTATCGTTTCGACTTTATCATAGTATACAATATACTTTGTTGTATTTATAGTAGACATTTGATAAAAATTCTCTTTAATCATTTCTCCGAGAAACATCTGTGATCTTTTCAATAATTGCGGAAAGAAGATATGAAGAGTCAGTAGTTTTGACTCGTCTAGTAATGTTAGTGTTAATGATCTTCACGAAATCGCCTGGCGCTGGAAGATTCTAGATACTTACGGAGCAATCCGATCCAATCCATTCCCTCCCCGCTCCGCAATTTCCCACGAATCCGTCATTATAAAGTTCACACGTGACTATGTTCGGAAACAAGGTCCAATTAAAATTTGCGATCAAGTGTCAAAGCTGCGCGCCGCCGCGCCGCGGCGTCGAATAACGTTTCACGGTGGCGTCTGAATTTCCGCCGGCTGATATCGTGCAACTTTCTTTTCTAATTACCGGGGAAGTTACGCGGCTCATTTAAATATTCTGTGTACCAATGTGCCCGGTAATCAACGGGCCGCGTGCACGGGAAGCCCCGCGCAAAATTCCTGGGGACACAACCTATTTCGCGGAGGAAGTTGAATCCTTGCATATCAATATTTAATTTAACTTTATAATTAGCCAGACTCTCTGTTCACTTAAGAACACCCGAATCGATAGCACTACCGTCCGGGCAGCCGTGGGAGTCTCATCGAACCAGGGTTTATCGTGCCGAAACAAGAGAAACATTATTTGATCATCTACAGTGGTTATTGCTTCCCTTTTGTCTCGTCGCTCGGAATACATTTCATTTTACTCCATTGCATTGTACTTTTGCTGGGATTATTATGTAAATAAGGTACTTCTATATTTTATAATATTGTTAATCTTTAATCCTTATGTTGGGAACAGGGTACACATTTTGATTCTTTTTTTCGTGTAATTTTGTTCCATTCTGGTGATAATTTGGTGAAGTTTGGATTCCTTTTGCATATTCTTACATCGATTTTTGCTTCGAATATAAAGATGTTACGCAGAAATATTGTAATACTAATATTTGAATAAATGTAGACAATTTTTCAAGTACAATAGAACATTCTGAAATGATTAACGTATGTGTTGTATAATTATTGATAGGAGATTTTAAAAATCTGTTTCCTTTTGTTTTCTTATTATATAATTAAGTATTCCCTACCAAATGATTATGACATATGGAAAGCATAAATTAACTATTCTTATTGCTACTATCATTGTTATTATAATATATATTATTTTATAATGGAATCATTACACAAATTAATACAATATAAATGATAAACAATCACAAACCACGTATAGTGCAACGAATATTAGTAATTTGCAAAGATCAAACTTCCAAAGTCTCCACCTCACAAAACAGAACTCAATCACCGACAAAATCTAATAACACCACCCTCAAACCTTCCCCATCCACCAAACAAGAAAATCAATCTCCCCAGACATCCACATTCATACTTCAAATCCCCAACATTTCTGAAAATCAATCTTCCAAAATCCGCACCTTATAAAACAGAACTAGCATCAGCAAAGCACGAATAACAACTCCTCCGAACCTCTCCCATACGCCAAGCAAGAAAATCAATCTCCCCAGACATCTATATTTATATTTCAATATTCCAATATTTCCACTCCTCAGTCGCCCCAAAAAACCTCACGAACCTTAAGAATGT